CAGCGCACATGGGGCCATGCACAGCCGTTCGTAATTTCAAATTTGAAATTGGAGCCCGCCGTCGTGGTATGTCGAAAAAAAAAAAAAAAAAAAAAAAAAAAAAAACCAATGCGGGGAAAGAAATGCGGGGAAAAACGGTCCCCTTCCCGTTCGGTCCATCCGCCCCGTGCGACAGTCTCCTTGTCCGCCTGCTGGGCGCTGGAACGCAAGGTGCCACCTACTGGACACTCCATGGACCCGGGTCGTGCAACGAAGTTTTCCAGACTTTTCCAGCCCCCGCCCCCTACCCAGTCCGTTTGCCACAAAATCGTGCCGTCAACTACGGAAAATGACACATTTTGGACCGAAACCACATGTGGAAACGTCAATGTGCCATCTTCCACGAACACTTTTCCAAACTGTGGGGTCCTGGGAAGAGGAAAACGCGACAAAAAAAACACTTTCCAGGAACCCGCTTTCTTCCAGTCGAGTCCGAGAAAAGCACTCGCGTCGCTCGTTTTCCAAGATTTTGGCCTGTGGGGTCAGGCCCTAAGAGGTGGACCGCACAGGGGAAAATCTCGGAAAAACTCTTCTGCCGGGTGTTCTCTCGGACCCCACAGCCTCTGGAAACGTGTCTGGAAGTCCTTTTTTTCGTATTTCCCAGACCCCACCGCCCGGAAAAGTGGCGCCTGGAAAAGAGAAGAGCGAGTTTCCAAGTCCTTTTCCGGGCGGAAAACGGCCGATCCACGTCAGCCTCGCCGAAATTTTGTGGCAAACGCAAGGGGTAGGGGGGGGGCATCCCCCTACGTCTTCCAGACTTGGAAGATCGCGCAGTTCCATTTTGTGTCCGCATGGTGCAGCGCAGATGCCACGCAATGCCACCCACGACCCGTCAGCGGCCACCCCGCAGGTCCACCACGGCCTACCCGGGCTTCGACGGTGGACAAAACAGCCAAACTGGTCCGAAAGTCTGGAAGAACTCTTCCAAAAGTCTGGAAAAGAGGCACTTCGGTGGGGTCCCGTCTTTTCTTTTCCGAAACCTTCCAGGACTTCCGCGTCGCTTTACCACGGAAACTGCCTTTTCCACACTTTGGGCGGTGGGGTCCACTTCTAAGGGCGTGGTTAGACACTCCTCGGGGACGTGAAATCCACAAGGACGCGCTCGTTCCACCGGTCCTTGGGGATGAAATTGAAAAAGAAATGTGAAAACGCCATAAGGAAAATTCCTTGTGGAATCCTTGTGGCCACAACCAAAATTTCCTTATCTTCAAGGGACCTCGTGAGGTTCCTTGGAGCTCAAGGAACCATGATTCACGGAGTGGCGAAGACATGCATCGAAGGAGAGTTTGGATTCTTGGGTGGTCCAGATGTGGTCCAGCGGCATTAGCACGGACATCCCCGCCCTCCAACGTCTGCATAGTCTACCAACGTCCCCCAACGACTACTGTTGGTGGTGGGCCTCCATCGGGTGGCGTAGTCATTTTCGACCAGCATTATGAGGTCTCACGCGCTTGAGAAACGTATGTGTAGTCCCCCAACACCCCCAAACCGCTACTGTTGGCGGTGGGCCTCCATCGGGCGTCGTCGTCATTTTCAGCTGGCATCAACGGTCGGAATTATTTTTTTCCCCGGCGGCACCTTCAGTCCATCCACAGAAGATCACAAGCGTCATATTCCCATGCATGTCGTCACATGCTGCATGTCCGATAAAACTCTTGCCTTCTCCGCCGTCGTGTGCTCATTGCTGCCCTCTCCACCGTGCAGTTCATGGTCGATGTGTACCGCAGGCTCCCCTTGCTGCTCCTCGTCGCTGTGCTGCTTCTGGTGGTCCCTCTACTGTGTCCCCCCCGTCCTGAGTTTGATCCACCACCTCGGTGTCGCTCGTGGAAGGACGCCGCAACCCAACGTGTAGCACAACTCAATGACAGCCTCCAAAGTTGCCACGTAGTCAGGGCCATCATCCGCAGCTTGCACCAGCGTCCTTCTTCTACGCGCACGCAACTGCTCCTTCATTCGTCCCAGCGCCCTCTCCTGCTGACAACGAGAAATAACGGTTGACACGGCCGCCGCCACAGCTGCCCGCTCAAGCGGTGTCACCAGCGCACGTCCGCCCTCTCCGCTGCCCTCAATCGCCACCACCTCCACAGGGATGACACCTCTCCGTTGTCGTCTCAATCCTCGCACCCTAGAGACGTAACTTGCTCACCCCCTGAGGAGAGGTCCGAGAAGCTGCCGCCTTTCCGTGGATGTCGTCCCCCTGGCGGAACAGCGTGTGACGGTGCGGACGATGTGGAGGAGAAGCTCGACGGTGATGGACACACCCGGTGCACGCACGTACACTGACCGGGAGGTGGGCGGAAGGGCCGCTGCCGCTAAGGCCAATTCAGCCCTGCATTGTTTGTGCGCTGCAAGCCGAACGTCGTCGTCGTCACCACAACTGTACTTCAAATTTTGAATTTCAAACGTAGAGGTCCCCCTTTTTTATTTTATTTTTTGTGGCCTGCCTCATGCCCTTTTCCGCCAGACGTCGCTGGACCACGCCGTCTCCACATGGACACCGGACGCTGGACCATGGACACCCCCGCCCACGGCCGCATATCTTCATATGAAAATGGTCGCGGGCAGACCACAAGGAAACGTCTTCGGGGGACGTCCCCAAGGATGTGTGGAACGGCGCCGCCAAATTCGCTTACAAGCCACAAGGAAAATTCCATGTGGCTCAAGGCACTTGCAAGGAGTGTCTAACGAAGCCCTAAAGGAAACAACGGGTCTCGGGCGACGCCCCACACGAGACCCGGTTCCAAGGTCGGGGAACTCGGTGGGAAGGAGGTGTGGCGGGCGGAGGCATAAACCGACAGCCGACGGCGGTGCAGCGGGCGCAGGCATCAACCGACGGGCCGACGTGAAAGCAAGTGACGAAAAGAATCGGGTGGGAAGGAGGCGCGGCAAGCGGAGGCACAAACTGACGGGGCCACACCAAAGCATGTGGCGTCGGTCGGACACCGAAGCACTGGCCAAAAAGGGTTGGTCAGAAACGGACGAGCGGACGCGCAAAGACCGACGGAACGATGAATGCACGAGGGAGAGGGAGACAGTTGCAGAAACCATCGGTCAGATGAGATTCATTCAATTTTGCTCACCATGAGGGCAACCCCGACGTTGGACTCTTGCCCGTTGCGAATGATTCTTCCGCTAGAACATCGAAATATA